AATCCGAACCGTTCCACCAGGGAAAGAGCCTCAACCAGGCCAGGTGCTGGCGGAAGACGAGGAGACCACAGCCTGGCCGCGGAAGATGGAACTTTTAAATATCAACTCGACTCGTGAACTTAACAATCAGGAACCAAAGGGGAGGCTGGCCGTGCTCAATGTTACAGCCGGACTCTGGTTTACCATGGAGCGGAGTTCTCACGACACGTTTTTAAAAATGTCATCTGAAGGCACGCAGGGCAACAGATTAAAGCAGAGTCAGAAAACAAAGGACAAACTGAGAGATTAAATATGACAAATGGAAAATCTTCCTAATATATAAAAAACAAAGATAAAGAAGGACGTAACAAAACCGTAGAAAATGGACAGGGGACATGTAAAGATAGTCCACGGAGGGACAGACAGAGGGCGTTTCGATATCTGAAGACATCCAGCTTCACTCATAAGAAAAATGCCAATTTAAACTAGATTGTGATACTGGTTTTTATCAATTAACTCAGCAAAAAATCCGGAAGTTAAACCACCCACTCTGTTGACAAGGCTGCGGGACGCAGGCAGGCATCGCCACATCGCCCTCCTCCAGGCCCACGTGGCCACACCCAATACAATGACAGACACACTGGCCTCTGGCTCAGCAAGTCCACTTCCAGGGAGTCACCCCGAAGATACAGCTCCAGCTACGAAAACAGCCAACAACCAAAACACATCTGCACGAGGGTCTTCATTGTGCCATGGTTTGCAATAGCGAAATTTATACTGACGTTCACATGGCAGCATAAAGCAATAATGGGGCAAACCCTAAAGCTGAATAAAAACAGAAACAAATAGCCCTGACCAGTTTGGCTCAGTGGACAGAGCATCGGCCTGTGGACTGGAGGGTCCCAGGTTCGATTCCGGTCAAGGGCATGTACCTGGGTTGCGGGCACATGCCCAGTAGGGGAGTGTGCAGGAGGCAGCTGGTCAATGTTTCTCTCTCATCGATGTTTCTAACTCTCTATCCCTCTCCCTTCCTCTCTGTAAAAAATCAATAAAATATATTATTTAAAAAAAAAACAGAAACAAATAAACCCAATTGGATATCAAATGGGTTACATGTAATCACACAGAAAAGAATAACATGGGTAAGTCCCTTTTAAACATGGTATTCTGACAATACAACTTTTTTGCCTCAGAACCGAAAGCTCTGGAAAGGAATCTTAACTTTTACTGGGTAGGTAGTGGTTACAGTAGTAACGTCAAAGTTATTTTGTGTGTCTGGGGGAAGGACAGCTATGGAAGGAGGAAGATGAGAAGCAACGTGGACGTTGCCTTTTAATTGGTGGTATCGGTGCGGACGACTGATTTTAAAAAGGCCGAGAAACAATGACAGCCGCGTGGCCACAAGCAAACACAGTGCCGGGTCAGGGTGTCTGCCCAGGGCTCCTGGGACCATGGCTGTTCCAATGTAAGGTGCCCGGAGTAAAAGTGTTTCCAAACTGACAGGAACACATAGGACACAGGACCCAACTTGAAAAGATCCTAACAGCCAAAATAATAATAATTATGGCTATGCACATATTTGAATGTTTCTAAAGAAAAAAGGAAGAGGCTAGCGCTAGACCTTTGCGAATGGATGGGTAGATTTATCGAGATGGAGAAGGAATTTGGTCATCATGAACTAAAAAGGAGCCGATGAAGAAGAGGCCGTGAATCAGATGAGGGGTAGGGGGCGGGGCGGGGCGGGGCGCAGAGCTGCTGGTGAGCTGGAGTGGGGGGCTCGCGTGGGGATCCCCTGAGCATACGACTCGGCAGTTCAAGACCGTCAGTGCCAGTCTGAAGACTGACCGTGGGCAGAGTGGCCGTGGGGAGGGAGCCACTGTAAGTCTGTGAGCAGCGAGAGGGGAGCTGTGAGGGGAGGTGATGCACCAGGGATTTGGGCACCTGACTGGCAGCTCTGAGGAGGGGCAGGGAAGAGAGGGACCCTGCCCTCTGCAGCCAGAGGGGGGAGGAGGTCTTGGCAGTGGCTGAGGAGTGAGGTGCTGTGGGCCTGCGAAGAGCCTGGGAATCGACAGGGAATAAAAAGGGCTGAAACGGTTAAAAACACTTCAGAGGAGCAGGACAGCGAGTTCGCTGAGGAGGAGGAAGGGGCGTCAGGGGCGGTTCTGTGCTACAGGGAGCGTGGAGGTGAGCTGCACAAGAGGCTGGCACTGGTGTTGAACAGCTGTCTGTGCGCCCACAGCGTCCTGGCGCTTACAGGTCCCACCAGGCCACGCGGCAACTCCCGCGGGTGGCGTGGCTGGTCCATCGGCCACTCCGAGCTCCCCCAGACCTCAGGCCCCAGGAGGCTCGGTTTCCCTGACACGTCCAGCAGTGACCAGTGTCCAGGGTTTCACACACTCCACGCACAAGGCCCAGGACCCCTCCCCGTGGAGCCATGGCTGCCCCCGTGGGTGGAACATCACTCCCGATTGGGCCAGAAGGATGTCAGGACAGAACGAGGAGGGGCGCCCACGGGGGCAGCCCTCTGGGCCTGCAGTGCGGCCTGACTGGGCGCCGCGGGGTGTGGCCGGCCCATCAGGGGAGGCCGCGCTGTCCGTGCGGTGAGCGGTCTCCAGGCAGCTCCCTCCCGGCTCTCTCAGCACCGGACGGCACGGCTGTAAATTACGCCCAGCGTGTTCATTTTCAGTTTAAATGTGTTCTCATCCCAGAGGAGCGACTAATGGCGTCAGGTTACTGATGTGAGAAGAGCCTGCCTCTGCGCTGACTCTGGATTAATGAAACGGCCGCGTGGAGGCTGGGGCGCAATAAATCGCCGGCCGCGGGTGACACGCATGTTAAATCACGTTCTCCTCCCCTCCCCTCTCCTCCAGCGGACCCTGCTGTGGAGCCGCCGGGACATGTTTCCGCTGCTGACACGTCTGCTTTCTGTCGGACGCGGGGGCACCAGGGCCCCTCCCTCAGAAGGGCCCTTTCTCCGAAAGGGGAGGCGGCTGAGAGGGGTCCAAAGCCTGTCACGCCTTCTCCAGGGGGCACAGGGGCCGATCCCGTCATCCAGGTTCATCCCTGACTCTGGATTTCATCCAGAACGCTGGCCAGCACACTTGGCAGGTGAGGCTACCCGCCTCCTGCTAGGACTTCTCATTTCCTAACGGGGCTAAAATGAGGAACAGGACAACTGCCTCCCGTGTATCGGAAAGGCAGCAGGTCTGTGTTTCATCAGATGAAGGACCCAGGGAGCCACTGACGGGAGCTCCAGCACCCCGATGCTGAAGGCACACTGTTCGTCGGGAGATGTGTTTCTAGAAAGAAGGTCTATGGATTCCATCACATTCCCTAATGTTCCATGACGCCAGTGTCGCTTCAGAGCTGCTGTGGTGAGCTGCAGATGGCCACGCTCCCTCCTCCCGCGGGTCCACACTCTGGCCAGGGGACTGTGCAAGGGCGTGGCTGGCAGAGCCTGCGCCAAACTAGACTCTCCCGCCGACCGCTGGCAGACCGCGTCGTGAATGGAGCTCATTCATGCTGTGCTGGCGTTGCTGGCCACGCACTGAAAGCCACGGACACCAACGCTCTGCCCCACAGTGTGCGTCTGAGGACGAGGGGCAGGTCTGATTCAGCCTTTGGCTCCTTTGTCCTAAACACACAGTCACCTTCATATCCATTCGCAGGATTGTGGAGCTGGCCTGTCAATCAAGGTCACTTGGTAAATCAGGAGGCATCCCGCAGCACCTGCCCAGGCCTGTCCTTACTTATCAAATGGGCTTCTACCTCCCGCCCTCGCTGGGCTCCTGGGTTATTGGAACTGTGTGCCTGACGGTGCCTGGTCCCCGACGGCCGTGGTTCAAGAAGCAAGTGGCGAGGAGGCAGCGGAGTGAGCGCGTCGGCAAGAGGCCGTGCACGTTTCAGCCCGAGTGACCGCCAGGTGAGCAGCCAGGAGAGCAGCCAGGAGAGCAGCCAGGAGACTGCTGCTTCCTGGTCGCTTCCTCGGCTGCAGAACGAGGCTGTCCTCTGGCCGACCCCATGCCCAGGTGCTGGCACTCGGCAGCCACGTGGCTGGAGGACTCGCCACGCCCGTGAGGGTGGGGGGCCAGTGAAGGGGCCAGAAGTGGCCGCTCTGGGTTCTGCCATGAGCCCCCGATCTCACTGCCTCGCTGCCTCGCTCCGTGCGTGAACAGTGAGGTGTGGGAGGCGGCTCGCTGAGAATCCCCACGCTGCAGGCAGGCAGGGTTCCTGTGATGACTACAGACCCAGGGGCTGTTCCCCGGCCGGCCGACGCCCAGTGCTGGCACTCGGCAGCCGCGTGGCTGGAGCGTGAGGGCTGTGGCTGTCGTCCCGGCGTCCCGTCTGAGCAGAGGAGTAAGCTGCTCGTGCAATCACAGGCCCAGAAGAGAGTTTACCTTTTTCCCGTGGAGGAGGAGAGAAGGTTCTCAGTGTTTCTCTGCAGCCGAAGGCGGGAAAGCGGGCCACAGAACAGGAAGGCGAGGGGGACAGGGAGGGAAGAAGCGGGTTTGAGCTGGGAGGCTGGGGCCCTGCCCCCTGCAGGGCAAGGGCGCTTCGTGCTGAGCACGTCACATGCTGGGACCACAGGCCTAGAAGTGGGGGACACTCATGAGAATGGGCGTGACACACACAGGCTTACAAAGTGCCCAGAATGTGAGAGCTACCACGGAGCCACAGACATCAGGAAACAGTCTCCTTTGCACTGGGACTCCCTCATCCTTTCTAGCAACTAACATGACCCCTTCCTGGGACTCAGGATGGGACGTCCTGTGTTGAGTCGCCTTTGGAAATGCGTCAGGGACACAGAACCCTGTAACACACACAGGGAAGACAATACCTGAGGGACGGGCCCGCGGGAAGCAAATGGGGAAATGCTGATTTTTACTTATCACCCCTAAGGACATCCAAGGAGAATGCTCACACTTATTCTGCTATGCTTTCAACATGACTTTCCATCATTAATGCCCAATCTTAAATGTTACAATTACCTGTGAGTAAGCAAAGGAAACAATGACCAGATGGCATTTTCAACCAAGTTTCTTGTGTTTATTATAATCGTGCTTCTCTACGGCTACTGATGCGTGTGGCCCGCACACCGCGTGTCGGCCCTGTTTACCTACACACACGGCGAGCATTGCCGGCGGGGAGGGCCGCACAGCAGGCGTGCGGAGCGTGCGGTGCGGGAAGGCGGCGGCAGGAGCGTCCTTCCTGCGGGCCCTCAGGATGCTCTGATGTTGGCGTCGCACTCTTCCAAGAGCAGAATCAGGTCTTCAATCAGCCTGTGCTCCCGGCCGTGCGTCACTCTCATGATATCGAACGCCTGAAGGGACGAGAAAGGAGATTAGATCCCGGAGCAGGCGGCCCCTGCCCACTCCTCATCGTAACCCTGGGACGCCAGGGCCTGGAGACCCCGCAGGCCCACAGCGGGCGCGGCGCCGGGGTTCTCCAAGCCAGAAGGCAGGGACCAGGTGCTTGGAAAGCAAACCGCTAATCGGGTCATGCAGGGCCGCTATCCAGCCACGCTCCGGGGATCGGCAGTGCCCAGGCTGCGTGAGCTGTGCGGAGGTGTAAGAGGAGTGAGCACAATGACTAGGATGCAGATGAAGGATGAAATGCCATGCTCCCACCGCCTGCACAGAAAGTTCCACGTTTGCAGGCTGCATCAAGCCCTCGCCTACACGCACGGTGATAACGACGCACATGGCATTTTTCTGTTTTCTTTTTATGTCACATGACACGTAGCATTGGCATCACAACAATCCCTGCCTTTGCTGTGTTCAGTCCATCGCTGAATCGTGTCAACTCTACCTGCAACACCGTTCTGGAACCTGGGTGGGCCTGTGCCCACGTCAGCGAGAGCCCAAGGGAAGCGATGCCCCCGCGTTCCAAGGCCCTGCAGCCTCCGCCTGGCGCTGAGGAGGACGGGCCACGGGCAGGCACGGGCAGGGCTCTGGGGACAGGGCCGAGTGACCATCTGTCTGGCCAGCCTGGCCCAGGCACCAGAGATGCAGACAGAGAAGCCACCAGAAGCCACCAGCCAGAGAGCAGCCAGACCCCGGTCTGCCCGACAGCCACCCCAAGCGAGCCGCTCCCACTGCGACCGATTCACACTCCTGCCCCACCAGCCGTGCACTCACCTGGTGGGTGAGCGCTGCCACATTGGGGTGGTTTGCTACTGAGCAGTATGAACCACAATGCCCTCAAAACTGTTTTTGCAAGAAATAAACTGGAGACAAAAGTATCACCCTAACCTGTCCCAACGGGGGCGGGGCCAAAGGGACACCAGATCCACTGGGCCCCGTGCACGTGCCTCCGGGAGGCGGAGCGCGGCCCCTGGCACGCAGCACACGCTCAGCCTCCGCTGAAAGTGGCATCAACCCGGAGCTTTGAGAGGCACCGATGCCCAGACCCCACTGGGGGCCGCTAACCCTGCTCTCTGGTGAGGCCTGGGCTCCGGCGGCCACGGTGCCCACGGGGCTGGGAGCAGCTGACCCTGAGCCTCAGCGGGGAGCAGCAGCTGCTTGTTTTCAGCGGATCTAAGGCAGCACAGCTGCCCCTTTACCAGCGGGCGGTCATGCCCTCTGGCTTGCAGGCCCCATTTGCTCAGCCGCTCTTGGGAATTTCCGCACCTTCAACATTTTCCGTCATGAGAAGAGGGGAGGAGAGGGGAGGAGAGAGGAAGGCCCCCTCCACCCCCAGCCCTGGCCCCAGCAGGGAGGAGCCTGCTCCGGGAACCTGGCTGTAACCCCATGGGACCATCAGGCCGCCACCTGACATCTGGCTGGAAACCCAGCAGGTGCGGGAACAGACCCTGGTGGTGGGATGTGTGCTGGTGACTCCCAGGGGCTGCCCTGGGGTGCACAGTATCTGTGAGCAAAGGCCAGGAGGGGGTCTGGACAGGGAGAGGAGGAGCTGGGAGCAGCCCCCACTCTGCAGGCAGCCGAGCTCTGTGAGACCCTCTGGGCTACAGATACAAACAGATGTGGGTGCCACGCGGGGGGCAGTGTCTTACGTGTGACTCCTCCCTGCCCCTCCCCCAGGGCACCGCGGGCCCTCCATCGCCTGGGCATGAAGGTCCGAGGCAGAGGCCTGCATGAAAGCACGACGCGAAGGGCAGAGAAATCCCTTCGTGGGAAGGTCTCTCACGTGGAGTCGTCCTGTGCCCTGCCTGCCGCCACAGAGGCCGGGGACTCGTGATCTGGCGGGAAAGATGTGCAGGCCACAGGCACTGCCTGCAAAGCTCTTTGCATGAAGAGCAAGAACCGCTTCCCTTCCCCCTTGCCCCCCCCCCACACACACAGGCAGGTCTGCCCCTCCACAGGCTGGCCCACCTGCCCCACAGGCTGGCCAGTGACAGTCCTTCGCTCGCTGGCGGTCAGGCTGGTCTGTTTTCAACATTATAGGCTCTCGTCTTCCTTCCAGCCACGTTTCACTCTCCCAAGCGCCAGGTTAGCCGTGGCTCCCGGGCCTTCCTGCACCAGAGGCGCAGACCTGCTCACCCCAGCAGCGGGGCCTGGCTCAGCAGGAGGCTCCCCGCAGCCGCCTGGAGCTGCGGGCCAGGCCTCTTCCCCAGGAGAGGCCAGCACGACCCCCTGGTCCCCGTCCTCACGTTGGCCCAAGAGGCCAAGGAGGTGACTCACCCCGTGTTCCCTGTGCAGCCCCCTTTCCAACGGCCCGCAGTGACCACAGGGCGGGGCTGGGGTCCCCTGGGTGTGACGGAGACGCCCGAGAGGCCCTGGGCTTCCAGTAGCGATGCCGCTGTGGGTCCTGCCTTCTCCACTGGGTGGTGACTGTGGTCCCGGAAGCAAGGATGGGCCAGGACGCAAGCCCTGGATGAGTGTCGGGCTTGAGATGGTAAGACTAAAGATCACACCCACAGGGGTGGCTAGAGCAGGGGGAAGGGAGTGCCGCTGGGGCTGAGGACTAACGAAGAAGTCCCCACCGCTGTGGGGAAGGTACACCTACATGCAGGTGCGACGAGCAAACACTGTCGTTCCCTCTGCGTGAGGGGCCGGGCGGGTAGGAGAGAAGGAGAGGAAGAGGTGGGTTAGTGATGAGCAAAATGCGCCAGTGGCTGTCTTCTGGGTGAGTGACACGCGTGCGGAGTGCACAGTGAGCTGGACTCCTGCTGATGGAGCTCCTCCGGCCTGGGGCCTGGCCGTCCTGGGGCCACAGCTCAGTGATGTCAGGAGAGAGCCTACATGGCCGCCCGCCCGGGGGGCTCTCCGTGAGGCCCCAGATCTTCCCCCCGGGGGACAATGAGGGCTGATCTTCCCCCCGATGAAGAGTTTACAAGAAACCCCTGGCCGCCCAGCACTGCTCCCTGGGGCTCTGTGTCCTGCTCGGCCTCCCACCTGCGCGCAGGCGCCCTGCAGAGAGGACGACTGTGGCTTCATTTCCTGCAGTCCTAAACAAAACCGATCACGGAATGTAAAGCTGGCGCCGCCTGTGCTGGGAAAGCCATCTCTTTCCACTGAATTTTCTTTTCAGCGGGAGCAGTTAGGAGGAGCCTGCACGCCATCGCCATCGGCCACAGAGGACTCATCCCAGGCCTGGGAGGGGGCGCCAACTCCAAGGTCGCCCGGGAAATGGCAGCCGCGACCGGCTGCGCGTGACGGGCAGGGCGCACGCGGGGACACAGAGGCCCCTGACCTGATTTCAAGCTCATCACATCTTCCTCTTTAAAAAAGTAATTTTAGAATTATGGCCGTATATTAAGTAAAATGAATTAAATCAAATTATGATTTAACGTTGCAAACAATATAGCTTTCTTATTAATTTTTAATACAAATATATTAAGCTTATCCGGGATCTCATATGCTCTCCACTGGGAGCCTGAGGGGCCCAATAAATGACTTCCTCAAGCCTGATTTAAATATGGATGCGAAGTCAGAGGGAGGAAATACATGCGCAATGAGACTCTGGAGTCAGATCACAAGAGGGAAAGATACAAGCATGTTTTCTCATTCTGCCTGTCTCAGGATGAGAGTGGGTGGGGGTGGAGGGAGGGCAGGGGCATCCCACAGCCCCACACCACTGAGCAGCTCCAGGCCACGAGCAGCTCCAGGCCACAACCAGCCCATTACAGTGGCGGCAGAACCTAGAGCCTTTGCTGCACAGGGTGGGCCCTCAGGGAGAGCTCTGGGACACCGGGGACAGAATCCCAGCAGGACCCTGTGTGACAGGGAGAAGTGGGCTGGGGTGTCAGGGGTGTCAGGGGTGGGAGGGGACCCCAGGAAGGGGCTTACAGGCCCGTCCGTGCCTTCTCCCGGGGGGCTGTGCTATGTTGCTGTGCTCAACTCATCAATCGATCCAGTGAATATGCATGAGCCCCTGAGGAGCCCCAAGGAAGCCCTGTCTCCTCCCTGAGACTCAGTTGCCTCAACTGAGTAATGAAAATTAGACTCAAGAAATTCTAGGGGCCAACAGGTCCCAGACACAGAGCTGGGGGGCGTCCACGTGGCTTGTTTCCAAATATTGTTCCTGATTTCGGATTTAATTAGACTGTGGTCAGGGAATTCCCGTGAGTGACATGGATCCGTGCACGTGCGCTGAGACCTGCCTCTGGCCCAGAAGGCGGCCTGTCGGGGTCTGCGTTGGGGACACCGGAGAAGAAGGTGATGCCGCTACGGTGGGCGGGGCTTACACACGTCAGCGAGGTCCTGCGGCGGATGGCGGTGTGAACTCCCCGACATCCCGCTGGTTTCCTGTCTAGTTCTGTCCATTGCGGACAGAGGGGTACGCATGTCCCTGCTATAGCTGTACGGCCAGTCCACTGTCTGATTCCCTTCCGTTCTGAGGGTTTTTTCCCGACATTTTGCCACTGTTTGGTGCGGACACATTGACTGCTATGTCTTCTGGGTAGGCTGGCCCTGTTTTCATCACGTAACATCCCTCTCTGTCTCCAGTAAAATGCTCTTTGCTCTGCACTGACGTGATCTGATATTCATGCGGCCACTCCAGCTCTCTTTTGATTACGTTGCTCATCTCCTTTCCATCCTTCCAACCTGCTCATATCACTTACATTTAAAGTGACTTTCCTATAGACCAGTGATGGCGAACCTTTTGAGCTCGGCATGTCAGCATTTTGAAAAACCCTAACTTAACTCTGGTGCCGTGTCACATATAGAAATTTTTTGACATTTGCAACCATAGTAAAACAAAGACTTATGTTTTTGATATTTATTTTATATATTTAAATGCCATTTAACAAAGAAAAATCAACCAAAAAAATGAGTTCGCGTGTCACCTCTGCCACGCGTGTCACAGGTTCGCCATCACTGCTGTAGACAGCAGAGTTAGGGCATTAAAAACCCATCC